TCAGCTCCTGGGAGGGTTTGGCATGCAGCTAACAAACTGCGACGTGCGCTAGGCTCAGACACAGACCACAGCAACAAAAATAACAACAACAACAACACGGTGGCAACAATACAATGGGGCAACTTCTATGGCGATAAGGGACACAGCGGCTGAACACGCCCACTGTCCGAGTCCGAGTCCGGGGACCGGGAAGCGATGGCCAACTCCCTGACTGGTCTATCATGCGGCTGACGTGACGTGACGCGGCAGCGATTTTTACACTTTGCACTTTTTTCACAACTACCCTGGACATTTTACCCTGGACAGCAGAGGTATATCTCTATCTAAACGTATACAATTGTTCCACTTGTAATTTAGGAAGTGGATGTACTTCTTTCCAGAATTTACTTAAAAACAAAGACAGAATTTTTTTTAGTTTACAGATTAAAGTTAAAGCTTTTCGTCAGTCGAATACTTGAAACTTTAACAACTTTGATTGTTGCTGAATATTGCTAGTCAGCTGCTAGTCTTTTTTTTTACGGCTTTTTAGTAGCGCGTTCCACTTTTTGCGGCACATTTTGGGAGCGTCGCGCCGTCATCCGTCCTCGTCGTCGTCGTGGGCAATAAATCTTCATTTTCGCTATTAAAATGTTGTAATATTTTCGCTTGTTTTTTAACGCTTTGCCGATTGTCCCCGTTCCTGTGATATAGCCGGATATACGAGTATACGCGTATGTATGTATGTATGTTGTAGAGCCATAATAAAAATAGAAAATAAAAAATTGAATTGCCAGTCGCGACAGCAGCCGCTGGTTGCCTTAGTTTTGGTTGCACATTTTATTTTATTTTTGTGGGTGCCGCCTAGATTTTGTGATTCTAAACGGATTTATGCTCCCCCGTAATTGATCTGTTAGCCGAAATTGCTAGGGCGATAAGTTCTGCGATGGCTGCTTGGCTTTAAAGCCAAACAATCTGTAGCTGGTCAGGCGATTGTTGTCGTCATCATCGCTGAAGCAGCGTTGTACGGGGAGAGTAAAGAGTAGTACACACATTTGCCATTTACCCTTTTCCATTCACCATTCGAATATTGTTGCACTGTGACTCTTATTGCATTAAAATATTTGACACAATTGCAAGCTTTATTGCAATTTGCAAATTGCATGGAGACCCATGGTGTGCCTCTGAGCCACGGTTCAGCCCTGCCTCAGCGAGAAGGGGCTTTTGTCAGTTGCACAGGTTGCTTCAGGTGTGTTCGCTGTGCGAGCTGTGTCATTTTCCATAATTTCATATGTGACAGTGCGTGACAACATTTTACTGCCTCGCCTTGCATGCAAGTCAATCAGCTATAGTAACTCTAGGGGGGGAGGGAGGATAAAATATTGAAAAGGAATTTCATTGTGCATGTGCATAAGATTTAAAGATTTAAAATGAATTGCGAAATGTCTGAAAGTATTTGAATTTATTTTTACAAAGAGGTATTGGTGATCCTGAAAACCTACATTCCTACAGTTTTTGTTAAGGAATATACATTGAAAATTCATGCAAAACTAAGTTTTTTCGTTTTCATTTTGAACTAATTGATGGATCTCTGTACTTCTATTTGGATAGAAAATTAACCCACTGAAAGCTCTGCACAGAATCTAAAACCAATGCCTAGTGGAGGTGGGAATAATCCAACAAAACTCGATTCATTTCGGAGTTAAGGTCATAAATCAAAGTGTCTAAAATGGCATACATAAATTTTCATACTGTAAAAGGCATTTGCGATGAAATTAACACGCTTCGAAGCAAGACGACGCACATGCATAGATTCATAGACATGAACACACACACACACACACAAACACACATGCATACACACAGAGGCATACTCTCGTGTACATATATCGTTTGCTGTGATTAATGCAACGCGGCGTATGCGTAACACTTCTCTGGCTGTCTTTATTAATGGACGCTGATTTGCACATAAAGCAAAACACATCCATATGAGCTCTACGATAAAATATAGCCATGGAAAGCTCCTCGCGAGCCTGCTCTGCCGCCTGGCGAATGCGGAGAGGGAGTGTGGCACATACAAGGTGCTGGGATTAAACCTTGAGCAGATAGCTAGCTCCATCTCTTTGTTGCTAGGGTGCCGCTGGCTTGTGGCTTCTTGGCTGGTGCTGCTCCTTCTGCTCCTTCCCCGCATGCTTAAAGAGCAGCCTGGGCATTGTTGTAGAGTCATTAAGGTGTAAATTATACCACTAATTAGCCATTAAGTAGCGAACGGGAGCAGGCAGCGTTTAAGCACGTAGATGCCAAACACACAAACGAGTTCTATGTTGTGTGAGGGACTTGGAACTATGTATATCTGGGCAATAAAATTTAATGAGCATATAAAATGTTAGAATGAAAAGTAAATTCGGCTTCTCCTTCTCGTCTGCCAATCGAACACAGCAAAATCCACAGCTTAAAGGTGCGTCAGGATTATCAAAGGCACTCCAGAGACAAAAGGAGCATCCGAAGACAATCCAGCTGCGGACAAAGTGTGTGTTTGTTTGTACTCAATCCTCTGCTAGTAATACTCAAGATATATGTATATATATCGTGGAATAGAGCTACAACAAAGCATGTGCGAGAAAAACAGGAGAAATAGTTTGAAAAAATATTGAATTCTTGAGACATAAACAAAGTGAAGAGGAGCAGAAGGAGGAGGATGAGGAGCAGTACAACTCCGGGAGACTATTGAAGCAGAAAATCGAAAATTTATACAAATATGTTGAAAGAGCAGGGCAGAAGACCAGACCAAAGCGGAATATAGTGGAACACAAGACTGGAGTGGAGTGGATCGAACGCGTTCGGGAAATGTGCAGCGGCGGCAACAAAAGGAACAGCGCATGTCTTTGGCCAATGTGTTCGAATGTTGGTTTGTGTGTGTGTGTGTGTGTTTGCCATGGCTAAATTTGCATTTATTTTCCGAGGGAATGTTCAAATGTGCAACGAACTGTGCTTGAGTAGAAGACAGCCAGGAGAAGAGAACACACACTAACATGACGACCCTCACAACCACCACGATACCATGCAGCATTGCAATCAAAGACGCTACCGCTATCGCATCTGGAGCTCTAGATATTTCTACCGCTGCTGCTGCTGCTGATGCTACTGCTGCTTCTGCCATATTCCACCCGGCGGCAATTCATGTCCATTGCAATTCACTCTTTTTTCCGAGTCCATGTCCAAAGAACGTAAGACGAATGCACAGCTGACCCTGCAGCCAAATCTGAGCCTGAGATGTGGCTCCTGCTCTGCCTTTGATTGCTTTTAAAGCGTTTTCTGCTCGAAATTGAATTTGCCATTAGTCGTTGGCAAACTTGTAAATTCAAATAAGCTCAACATCCCACACTGCATGCCATACGAGCCCCCCCCATGCGGCAAAGCTTGTGTTTTTGATTGCGTCATGCTGCATAATGAGCTGCAAAATCTTTGCTCGGCTTACATGGCGTGTGAGTGACATTTAATTTGCCGTCGACAGCATCAGAATAAAACAGTGACGAAGCCCTCCCATGGATGAGCCCCTGGACCAAGGCATACTCTTCGAGTGTGTATTTCAGATACTTCTGCAGAAAGAGAGAGAGACAGAAAAACTTTAAGGAGACAAACAGTATAAAAGGTCATCCCTATAAATAGGTTTCGTTTTGGATTTCGCACCTCTGTGTCTGCTTTCCTTTCCTGCAAATGGAGATTATTTATTAGATGGGGCCCGCTCGGTTCTCAGAAGCACTAAAGTCCAAAACTAAAGTCGGTGGTAAAACAGGAGCCGGCATACGCATTTTACAGCTAATAATAAATGACCCGAGGTGGGGTTGTCGTCGGCCACGTTTTCCAACCGGGCACGTACGCATAAATTTCGACAAGCACCAGGACACGGGACAGGGATGGGAGTGGACCTGCAACATGTGTTAGGGGCCCAGACCTTTTTTCCGAGGCGTCAGCCAGGTGTGTGTGTGTATGTGTGTGTGGGAGGCTGCCTCCAGTTTCATTGCCAGCTTCTGCTCCGTGTTCCCCGTGCGTCAGCCCATAAACATAATGACCAGCTATTATGGGCACTGACTCTCGGCTTACAGCAGGCCCGTGAACATATGCTTGTCAGTCAAGTTATGTGCCAAGTGTAACATATTTTAAATAATTGATGAGCGAACCCGATCCGATCCGACCCGACAGCAGCAGCACGTCTCCAAAATGCAGAGCCACATTTGCATGTGAGGCAAGGTCCTTTGGCTTTGGCTGCCCATCAATTAGACGCACTCGTTGCCGCCGACGTAGCTGCTGGTTCTCCTGTCACTTTTTGCACTCGGCGCCAGGGCCAGATGGAAAAGCCTTTGGCTAATCCGTTTTCTTTCCACTACCCTCCGCATACATTACAAACACTTCAATTTCCGTCTGCCAGTCCACTTCAGAGCCAGGGATTCCGAATCAGTTTTTGCGACCGTCCCTGCCTCTCATTCCCATTCCCAGACAGCTATAATCAAAGCAAATTAATTATCTACGTCCTTCGTTGTACGGCGGTCTCTCTTTTTTTTCCCTGGTTTTTCTCATCTTGCGTATACCTTTCAAGCCTTTCATGTCCGGCTGGTGGGTTGGTCGGTTGGTCGACTGTCGTCTACTGGCTACGATGGCTGGACTATCCCGGATGTCTGCAAAAGGCAAGAGTTAAATGACAGCCATTGATGCCTGGTTTATAATTCAATGTGCAGCTACAATCTGTGATATATGCAATGACCGACCGACCATCCATGTTCTTTGTCCTTCCTCGGAGCACAGAAATTTGCTAGAAAAAATGCCAAATACCATAACAATGCCAGACTTAAAAAAAGGAGAGGATAAAGAGGTGAGACATGGCCTTTCATCAAAGATTTTAATTAATGTTTCTGCAGGTGCTGCTTTTGCATCAGAACTTCCTCCCCAGATGCCAGTGGAACTAATTTTGTTAGTTCCCCAAATCCCTTTAGCCATGGCTGAGGGCATGCAGTCGGGAAACGGAGCTGAAACCATATCAATCTTGGTTGGACATGTCGCTTAAAAGCACTTATCTGTTGCTCCTTCTGGGCCTGCCATGGAGCAGGGGCAATTGGGTGAAAATCTACAAGGAGAATTACCACCGGCCCGTGTACTACAATCCAAGCCACAGCAGAACGAATCACGTGAACTACAATCGCGTTCAGATGGATGAGCGCGACAAAGCGCTCCCCCAGAATGAAATTATGAGAACTAATTTCGATCCGAGTTTGCACAAGTCCTACTACGTTCACATCTACTACAAAGGATCGGTCTTCTGCTCCGGGGCACTGATATCGCGGCGCATGGTCATAACTTCTGGCCGATGCTTTCTGCCCCCAACAACGGAGCCCGTGCGCGAGTACAAGGCCAAGTATATGTCCGTTCTGACGGGCCAGGACATTGGCCACAAAACCACGACGGTGCCCCACGCTGTGAACGCCTTCTATATGCCCGGCCACAAGAAGAACGGCACGGCAAATGACATCGCTTTGATCTCCCTGCGCAAGAAGTTGCCTAGCGATACATATCGCTACATTCAGCTCTATCGCAAGATACCCAAGGCAGGAGACAGTGTCCGAATGGCCTTCCTAGATCCCATGGAGTACGGCATAACACTCTACGAAACTAAGGTGGTGGATACAGAACGCTGCAAGCGCACCTACGAGGAGCTGGGCTTCCAGGATTTCCCCTTTGAGCCGGAGTACTACTGTGTGAGAAATGTGAAGCACTCAAAGAAAACGGCCTGCAGCACCCGACCGGGCGATCCCCTGATCATAGACAATCAACTGGCTGCGATCAACATCTTTGGCGAGCACTGCGACGAGGAGGAGGACTCTGACACCATGGACATATATTTCGGCATCAGGCACACCATCAAATTCATTCAGCTGGCCACGGATGCCCTGAGGGCCTTCACGGGCACGGGCCCCTTCAATGTGTCGGCCCAGACGACAACCCCGTCGGCTATTGCCCTGGCCATTCAGAAGGGTAAATAAATGTTTGGTTGATTGCAAATAAAGTGTTAATCAATCAATTACCTGTGGCCTGAAGCAATTCTAAATGGATGAGAGCGTGCCCAAGCGATTGGTTCGACTTACACGGGGAGAGGCCATCAATAGTTGCAATAGTTTTCGGACCCACTTTGAGCCATGGCCATGTCCCGCTTGCTGCTGTTGCAATTTCTGCTGATGCTCGCTGTCTTGATGGTTTGGTCAAAGACAAAGAAACCAACGTACCACTATCATCGTTCTCTGTACTCTAAGTATGCTGCCCAGCATAATCCCCGGATACAGTCGGGCTACAAACGCCATCATCCTGTCTATCCGAAAGTGAAGGCTACACCTGCATTCGGCACATCCAAGGAGCCCCAGATCAAAATTGGTTCGTCGGGAATGCAGGTGCCTCTGCACGATCTGCTCGTACGCGTCTACAACGACGGAGAGTTCCTGTGCGTGGGCACCCTCATAGCCGAGAGACTCATCGCCACAGCAGCGACCTGCTTCGCCAATGTGGAGATTCGGGATCTCACAATCAAAACCTACACGAACGAGGTGATGGAAGTAATGCAAAAGAACACAACGAAATATTTCAGGTTAGACAACAAGTCGCTGCTGAGCATCCTGGAATTGAAGCATTCCGCGGCAAACGAATCTGTGACGACCAGCCAGGCCAAGCTGTGCGACACCACGCTGCAGCCCAGATTCATCGTGGAGCTGCCCACCTACATACGCACCCGTCACAGTGTCCACACGCAGACCACTGAAGTACTGTCCTTGGAGGAGTGCAGGAAACGCATGAAGGACCCCAGCGGCAAGGTGATAAGCGACACGATGATTTGTGTGAAGAACAGAAAGTACTCGGCCAAGTGCCAGAACACCTTTGGCAATCCCCTTATCTACAATGGCATGATCTGTGCCATCAACGTTATGGGCCACAACTGTCCCAAGCCCTTCGGAGTCGATGTGTATGACATGCTCTATAATGCAGCAGACTTTGTGGGCGAAAAAATGAAGTTCATTGCAAGCGCCAAGCTGGATGATGATATAGCCTAAGCCCAAAAGTGGTTTAAAATATACTTTGAAAAACATTTGGCTCTTTTGTTCTACAACGCTAGAAACAGAGCAAAACGAATCGATTATCCATTGCAATCTTTTCTGGTCTCATAAACACTTTTTCAATCAGTATCCAGCAGATACAAATAGAGATTGCAGCCATGTTGCGTAGTAAGCTGCTCCTGCTGGCCAATGCCTTGATCGTAGTCTGCCTTGGCCACGTGCAAAGTTCTAAAGGCCATGAATTTAGAAAGCACAAATTGAAATACATTAAGGATGACTGGCAGCCTCACTTCGGCTACAATAACGGACATTATGCCTATGAGCATCAACATCGCTACAAGGCCCGATCGACCACCGTGAAGGGCCGCATCCATGGGCAAACTCTTCTGGATGACTATGTGGTGCGAATAATGGTCGATGGGAAGCTCATCTGTAATGGGATCATTGTCGACACGCAGCAGGTGCTCACCGTCAGCACCTGCCTCATAGACGCGCCGTTGGATAAAATGTTGGTGAAACTGCTCGATGGCTCCCGCTACAAAGTGACAAGCAGCAGTTCGGCCAGGGGCTACGCGACGGAAGAAGGTGAGAAGCTGCTCACTCTAATCAAGCTGGGCACGGAGCTTGATGGACAGTACAAAAAACCACCGCCTATGTGCCGCAATCGCATCAGGAGCAGCGAGCCTGTCCAGATGTGGACGTGGAATAACCGCAAGACCTACCTCAAGAAGAATCAAGTCTCCCAGGTGTTGGATGCCAAATGCAAGCGCCAGGTCAATGACTTGAGTGGTCTTGTCATCAAGAACTACACCAGTTGCGTGGTTAACACCCAGACTTCCAAGGGATGCCAGAGAAATTTCGGGCTGCCCTATGTCCATGATCACAGCTTCTGTGGCATGAACATTCTGGGGCACAACTGTCCTAAGGCCAGCAACGCCGATGTCTATGTGCGGCTGCTCGACGAGAAGCGATACATTAGCGAGAGGCTGAATATGGTTCGCCGTTCGGGCATCGACAATGAGATATTCTAATCAATTTAAATAATTAATCCAATGAATATAAAATCAATTTGAAGGATTCTTAGGAATATTTTTTGCCTTTCAATGATAATATCTTTAGATTTCGCTTCGTGAGGGGTTGCTGGCTCATATTTGTAAACGATTCCAACAACCAAGTTCAAGCTCCTGAAGATCAAATGAAATTGTGACATTAAATTGTTCTGCCTCATTTCCGTTCCGCCTGCTCTGTCGATGTTCAATCAAATTAATGAAAAATTGCTACCGCTGTCGAATCAAAGTTCCCCAAAAGAAGCATTAAACGCGCAGACGCTTAGGCACAGGCGCAGGTCGGGGATTTGGATTCCTTCTCAGTTTCATTGAGAATACTAAAACCTACCAACAAAAAGCAACAACAAAAAAATAAAGAAAAATAAAAGAAAAACTTGACAAACACACAGAGCACAAAAATGAAGTGGCAGCAGGAAAAAACCTTTTGTATTGCAGCGATAATGTCATCAACTAAAGTACTCCGTCGGGCATAGTGAAAAGTTCTAGTCAATCGCAATAAAGCGCAAAATGTTACACAGACTACGACGCTTCGGTACAGAGGGTACAGAGGGGGGGTTAGTGAATTTGAAAGCGAGGCATACATAGAGGGAGAGTGAGGGAGAGAGTAAGGAAGTGTGGGGGATATTGACAGGTGCATAAGAGCTGTGTAAACATCATTAAAATGTTTTTTCTCGTTGGCCATGTACCTCATGCCTCCACTACTAAAATCGAAATGGAAAATCATTGAAATTATATTTTCATCCATGTGCACAGCTTTTTTTTGTACACCCTAAGAGGGTGTAAATGCTTGGACCAGAATAACGTGTCTTTCGATACACTAGATTTGAGATTTGAATTAGAAATGGTATAAGCTTGATAAGGGTATCAAATGCTTCGGCCTCCAAAGTAAGCCTTTTGTCTAGCTTTTTTCCATGTTGAAGTTAATGTTTTTCCCTACATTATGTAGACTGTAGACTGTGTGAATGGAGACCCAGCAGAATTAGCCACATATCACTTTATGGCAAGAGCACTTTGTTAAATTAAACTAAATAATTCAAGGGCGCGACCACAGTTCATAAAATGGCGGCACAATAAACAAATCGCAATCTTGTGTTTTCTTTTTTTGTAAATATTTTTAACCAACAAACATGAGGCTACGCATACGCACACACACACACACACCCACACAAGAAACTGCAGTCGGATATGGAAATATTTGAAAAGAAAAACGCGGTCGTCTGCAAAAGGAAAAAAAGAGCCAAAAAAAAAACAAAAGAAATGCGTGAAAAACTGAAAAAACCAAACAGAAGGCATTTGTATGTGTGCGCACGTCCTTGGAATGTGTGTGAGCGTATGAGTGTGCGTGTGTGAGTGGCTGTGTGTGGCTGAGTGTGCGTAAAATTTTACGATAATACGCAACAATTTCGAAATGAGTGCACCCTGCTAAGCGGCAGGCCGGCTCTGGCCGGGTCGCTCTGTGGAGCATTTCGAGTGCAAAGAAAGCAATTTCCTCAATATTCTTTATGACCAACAGAGGAAGAGAGAGAACGAGTGAGTAGGAGAGAGAGTGCCACTCTCTCTCTCTCTCTCTGTTGCTGGTTTTTGCGAGGCTTTTGTTATTATTTTCAAAGTTCCATAAGACGGTTGCTAATAAAATTTTAGAAGCCCGAGACTGGCAGTGGGCTTGTTGTGCATTGGGCCTGTTCCTGGAGCTGTTCCTGTGCCTCTGTTGGAGGCTGTTAACATTATCATAACGCACACAGAAACACGCATATGTGTGAGTGGCCATATAATAATCATGGCTACACACACATACACTCATATATATATAGACTCTGGCAGACATTTACATGCCACTTAGGCATTGTCGCCCCGCTTCTTTGACTAGCGTTGCGTATACGCCGCGCAGTGCCTGGTGAGTGGAGCGTTGTGCGTGTGCCTTATAATTCATTTATTGGCATAATTTCGTTTTATTTTTATTTGTTTTACGGCTTTTGCGATTGCCTTTGATACGAACAACAAGCAGAAAAAAACCAAAGGACGAGCAAAACGGCAAATTGAAAACATATTCAATATGTTCGAATGTTGTCTCCTTGGAAGCCCCCGAGAATTGGCTCGTCTGCCTCCATTAATTGCTAAGCTGCACACGCGACCTGGCATACAATTAGGAAGACGCCTGCGGAAGGCACCTCCTGAAGGAAGATCCACCTCCATTACAAGGCACTTTAATTCACACAGCCAGAGAGCATAGATCACGCCCGGCTTAATAAATTCCCCTGCCAAGCAACCGAAAACAAAAGAATCTTTGGATGTCGTTGCCACTCAGCGGGGGTGTATGTCTTACCTGCATCCACTGAGTGGGTTTAGGGGCAGCTCAACCAGCAGCAGCTGGAGCTGCAGATAGGGCCAAAGATGGGGTCTCCGGCGACTGTCTGGGCACGAGGAAACGTGACTGGAAAAATGCATTTCCGCTGCACGTAAGAACTGGGCAAAAAATCGACCACGGCAAACCTAGAGCGGAGAGGAAAACGAGAGGCACGTAAGTCAATCAGCAACTGGACGGTAGCCACAGGCAAAGAGCCACAGTTCCAGCTACAGCTACAGCTACAGCACCAACAACTAAGTATAGCCCTAATGCAATGCGGAAGTCACACTCCAATTTAGCCGAACAGGAAGAGGGTGAGGGCTGAAAACAGGGCTACTGATTTTGTTGCTAACTGAATGAGTTACTTCCGCTTTGCCTAACAATTTTAAATAAAATCACATCAGAGCAAGAGCACACCCGCCGCCAAAGGATAGCCCACAGGGGTCGGAGGGCAGCAAACAACTGGGCACGGACAGACACTGACCAATATGGACAATGGTCTAGTGTGTGGATAGCAGTTGTTACCATTGCCATTGCCTTTTTATCCTCTTTGTGCTGTGTGCTGTGTGCATGGCAACCGACGTTGGTCTTTGAAATATTTATGGCAGCACCAAAAGGCCATAAAAAGGGAATGCCAATATGCGAGTGGCGGAATCAGAGGCAACGGAGGGCTCAGTCGGGGCCAGGAGACCAGGGAGCCCCGACCACTTAATCTCAACTCAATGAAAGTGCTGGCCATTTGGTAGCCAATTTAATTCACTCCAATCTGACACCGACACTGACTGTGTCTCTGGCTCTGGCTCTGACTCCTCTTTTGTATGTACAAAGAGCCGTCTCCTTATTAATCCTCGATTCATCAATTTATTTGCCATAAACTGATTGCCATGGAACAGTCAATAGACTACATATATTTGCAGGTCTATCAAATTATTATGTTTCGCATGCGAATCAACAGCAATTACTTCCATGAAAAGCAAATAAAACAAACCAGAATGCGATAGAACGCTAATGGCTAATGGGTTTGGGCAGTTTGATTGAAGTTGGATGTGGGTAAAATAGTGCAAATCATTACAGTCAATTAATTTTTGCACATGCAAAAATATGAATTGCAAAATATTCATACATATTCGCACATTTCAGGCAGAGGGTAAATAATGCAATTACAAGTAATACAACACTAATGTAATCAAATGAGAAGCATTCTCACCTCTACCTGAAAATAGCCTTGAAAAGCCAATGAGCCGTTCAAAATTTACTTTTATTATGTTATATTATATATTTTATTAGTACTCACAACATAATTTGGTAACTAATTGTAACTGATTCTTGATATCCTGAGCCCAGCCTCTGGTTGAAGGAGCTGGTGTTGTGTTAGGAGTAGTTGTTCTAGGGTAGTCTGCTATTATGAAATACTTTGGTGATTCCTTTTGATGACAGAGTGTCAAGAGCAATCTGAGGACTGTTCGCAATGTCACCCTAATTGGGCTCTGCTGAGCTCCCAAACAGATCTGCACTGCTGTTTCCACGTCGGCAATCGTTTCTGGATCAACTCGGTCTTTTATATACGTTTCTCTTGCTCTTTCGAATAGAATTTTCAGCTGGATCACCTCAGAGTTGACAATGGCTATTACATTATCAAAAAACGCAGTCAGCAGAACACCTAAGAATATTGTTGGAATTATAGTTGTCAAGTTGGAGCAGATTCACAATAGTTGGCCATATCTTACCGTAAAGAATCGTCACTTAAAGCTTCATTCTTCCTATGTGTTAATAGACTGAATGCAGTCCAGTATAATGCACACAATAAATATACAAAAATCTTTATTCGCCGCGGATGGTTCCATATCGAATCGCTTACATTGTAACTAAAATGATTATCCATGTAGATATCTACAGTTGGATTTACAAGGTCAAATTGTTAGCTGTGAATCCCACAAGTTTTACTCAATTTCACGCTCCCAATATACCTTTTATCCCATGCGTACCCTGTAAAAAATGTTTCTCATTCATGTATCAATATCATTCACTCACAATTCGGTTATCACTTGGATAAAAACCTGTGAATGTTTGACGGAAACTAACTCCAATGGCTATCTGTAACGTACGTGTGCTGAGGTGTCTAAATCGCCACAACAATACCCCCCATGGCAACGCTACCCCCTCATCCAAGGACATGACAGCTCATGGGTAATAGATAGTTGCCGTGTGCTGCAATTAACACCTTGCGAGCTGCACACAAATATTTGCCAAACTTATCGAGCATTTATCAATGACAAGTGTGACAGAACACGGTCGATACGAGTGGAGCGGGGGGGCAGAGCAGGTCACGAATGTGGCATTCAATACAATCGCTCAACTCTCTGCATGTGACGACATAATCAATGATATCGAAAAATACTTCAACAGAAAACCACAAATGTCTTTATTGGAAGCGTTCAGCTGAGTAAGTCGTGCTAAAGGTGCCAGTGGAGGCGAAGCGTGAGACCCCATTGTAAATGGTTTAGTTTCGGTTCGATGTCGCGTCGATCGGCCACCATTTGAGGCGTTATGTGGAATTGCTTTAGTTCTCCATCTAGGCCATGTCCGGCTGCATACCCCATCACCGGCTGCAGCTGTGCACGATCTTTGCCCTGTGTTTTGTCGTCTGCCAATTTGTGCTTCTGCTGATTCTGCTGCAGAGGGAAACCTTCAAGGGCAGAGTGAGTAGACTTGAGAATTTTAATATTATGTTTTAATGTTAAGCGCATTTCGTTAAGCTGCTGCTTTATAGGGATCATGCCAAAGAGGGACGTATGTTGGGATGGCGAGAGTTCATTTCGCACACACCCGAACAATCGACAGCGTTTTACCAGTACAATATTCAGCTAAGTGATACAGTGGGTGCGATACGAAGCCTGCCAAGAACTCGTCACGAAAGGTGAGTAGAGAATGCCTTGGAGATCTCAGGTGGAAGTATTAATGATTTCTTCGCTGGGCAGCTGCGATTCCCTGCGCACCTACAACCTGCCACACTCCTCTAGGGCCAAGGTGAGTGTTGTCATCTGCTTTCACAACGAGGCCCGTTCCATGCTTCTGAGAACGATCATATCCCTAGTTAGCCGTACGCCAGAGGACTATCTGCACGAGCTAATCATCATAGACGATGCCAGTCGGGATGGTGAGTCTCTGAACTTCATCAATTAATCGAATTTTTGAATATTTCTTCACCTTTCCATTTCCATTTTAGTTTCCCTGATTGAGGACCTGAAGGAGCTGATGGTCAAAATGTATGCTACCCGGAGTCGCCTGACGCTGTGTTTCATGCGCAATCATGAGCGCCAGGGCCTGATTTGGTCACGCAACATGGGAGCCGAGGCGGCCACTGGCCATTACCTCCTCTTTCTGGACAGTCATTGCGAGGTCAATGAGGCCTGGCTGGAGCCCCTGCTGGATCGACTGGCGATGAACGCGACGCTGGCGGTCAGTCCGCTGCTGGACCACATTGACCCCACAACCTTGAAGTACAGCAAGGGCAACGAGCTGCTGAAGGGTGGCTTCGACTGGAGCCTGCACTTCCACTGGCTGAAGCGCGAACTGTCGGCGAAGGAGGCGCCCGAGCAGCCCTACCCAAGTCCAGCCTTTTCGGGTGGCATTCTGATGATCTCACGCGATTGGTTCCTTAAGCTTCGGTGCTTCAACTCCCACTTGAAGGTGAGGACGAGGGCGCAAAACCCAATTAACTTGTGCCAACTGCGCTAATTGCTAATGTCAGAGTGCCCATGGCAGAGTTCAGAGTGCTCTGCTCTGCTCTGCTGTGCTCCGCCACAACAATTCCTCTAGCTGGCTTTTTGTCTCTCTTGCAGATCTGGGGCGGTGAATCCATCGAGCTAGCCATTAAATTGTGGCTTTGCGGTGGACAAATTGAGATCGTGCCCTGCAGTCGAATCGGACACATCTTTCGCCCTCGACATGCCTTCGACTTTCCGCCACAGTTTGACCACGAGTCGAGCACCGCCCAGGCCACCTATCTACAGTAGGTTTATAGGTGCATTGAGGGTATAAAAGATTGGATTGGTTGGGTTTGTGTTTGGGTTGGGGCTGGGGTTGGGGCTTAGGTGTGAAACTGACGCACCGACTATTGGTATTTTTCAATTTATTTCAGCGCAGCATTCGTTTAATATGAACATTCCAATCGCATGCTGATTGAATCCCCATTCCCTCCCTTCCTTGTCCTGCAGCAACTCAAAAATCATAGCCGAGTCTTGGCTGGACGAGTATAAAAATATGTTCTACGTACTCAAGCCGGCGGCCAGGCAGATTCCATTGTTTAACACCGTGCAGGACGTGGACCTCAACCGACAGATGAAGCTGGAGCTACGCTGTCAACGCTTCGAGTGGTATCTGCGGCATGTGAGTCCCGAACTAAAGTGAGTTGTTTCCAGACAGTTATTCGTGGCGTGTCACTTAATCAAAATAATCTTTCATATCAGGGCGCACTTTAACGAGCTCTCGGCAATGGGCACTCTGAAGAATGGTTATCGCTGCCTGCATACCAGACGCACGGACAGTTTGTCCAAGTGGGAAGTGATCCTGGACAGCTGCTACCACAGCGACATCACTGAGTGGAGACTGCTCCGCGAAAGCGGACAACTCAGCACTGCAACCGAACGTTGCCTCGGAGTGGAGAAGAACTCAAAGCCCCCTCTGCTCACCATGAAACCCTGCAGCAAGCATTCAACTAAGATGAAGGCACAACGCTGGCTGCGACGGGGCACACAGCTGGTGCATAACGAGACACATCTCTGCCTGGATAATCCGCTCAAGAATCAATTGGTGCTGAGCCCTTGCCGATCCCTTTCAGCATCGCAGTCATTTCAATTTGCATTGGAAATGGATAAGCAAACATAAACGTGGCTAATGATACCGATACAGATACTGATTCAATGAGCAGGAGTATGAGAAGGAGCAGCATCAAGAGCAGAAGCATGAGCTTCCTCCTCCTCCCGACGGGAAGAGCTTAGTTCGGGGGAATGAATGTGACTTGTGATTGAGGTTGGGGCAAGGAAAATCTCGTGGCATGCAGGTAAATCAAAATGCTGACATGTTGTGCTAATCTCTATGAAACATTTCCGCCGCCGACGCCGACGCTGCAGCAGCAACAGAAGCAGCAGTGGCAGTGGCAGCGGCATCCATAGATTTCCCGCAGACGGGGGGAAACAGTAAATTATGGCGCCATAGATATACGGAAAGGTGCAGAACTCTTCCCTTTGCTGGCTGGCTTTTTTGCAGTATGCCAGGTCTTTGTGCCGGGGACCGACGACTGTCAAGACTCCGCTCGCTTCCTGTCGCATTCGTCACACGAGACGGGACACAATGGGGCAGAGGTATGGCTAGATAAAAGGAAGCGGCGCTGTGCGTATTGTGCGGCTTGTTTAGAAGGCTCTGTCATCAGTCAGGCAACAAAGGACGGGCACTGAAACCGGGACTGGGGCCGCGACTGGCTTTCCTTCCCTGCAATTGCTGCCGGGGCGAGGAGTCGCAAATGTAATTGAGTTGATGACAATGCCACTGACTGCCCAGCGCGCGCTTCCGGCAATTTTGATGGCCTCCGGATGCAGTCGAAAAAAAGCAAAACCAAACAAAATAGAAACAGAACAGAAGTTCGTGGTGTGGCAGTGGCAGGAGCCGCGAGAAGGGTAGAGTGCGGGAGAGCGGGAATGGCTGTAGTGCAACTTGCAACTTAAGATTTGTTTTGTTTCACCATTCTTGTGGTAATAAAGCGTAAAAGTTAATTTTGTATCTCAACAATGGCAACAAGTGTGTCTAGAGGGCTGACAAGTTTGGTGCTGGCGTCGGGCCTGGGGCTGGGGCTGCGACTCCGAGTAGTATTTCCCTTACAATGGAAATTGCTGTGGCAGCTGCAGCGGCGCGTAAAAATCACATTTTTCATGGAACTTAGCAAAAATAACACAAAAAAAAAAGAAACCTCAACTCTGCAGTAAGGAAGTCTAACAAGTTGCAGCTTTGACTGTGTGGCCATGACCACCGACCCATCGAGCCACCGACCCACCACTGTAACGTCGCGGAAGCGGCGTTTAGTTATAGTAAAGTTATGGCCGCCCCGCAGTTTGCGCCGTTTTATTGTCCTGCAACTGCACCTGCAGAACACAATAACCCGGACTCTGAACTGGACGCTCTGACGGTAATAAAACGGTGAAGCACTAGAAAATTTCATTTTCTATAAAGTTTCACCAGGTAATTGCTTAAATTTCTAGACCACTTTAAGATGCGTCAGAGTCGGCGTCAGCTTCAGCGTTGGCGTTAGAGTTGGCGGGTGGCTAAAATGGTGCAGTCCTTGACTCGAATGCTTTGGCCATGTTTGGTTCAGGAATTTTGTATTGCTTTCAAAAAGTTGCGCTATCATTGAGTGGCCAGAGCTGGGCTCAAGGACGTACCTTAATTATGAACAGATGAACGGCAGCAGGGGATACGCTCTAGTCACAGTCCCTAGTCCGCGCTCAGGCCATGGAAAACTTGATTATTCATTTGAAGACTCATTTTATTATCTGCATAAATCTTTGCCGAACCCACGAGCCAACCAACTTTCTGTTTACTTTAGCCCCACCCAGAGCAGAGGAGGGTGGGGGAGAGTAAGACAAAAAAGAATCCATCATTCACTGGAGTCGGTGGCCGCATTTAAAACATCTTGATTAAAAAACTAAAAAAAAAATGGAGAGTCGAGAGTGGAAGGAAGAGGGAGAGGGAAAGGCGTCCTCCGTAAAATGGTAAAATGAAAGCCAAATGCAAACTCAGCGCATTCTAAGTGAGCCAGAGGAAAAACAAAAAGAATATTCGTGAAAAAATGAAATGAGCGAAGGCTAAAAAACTTATAAGCCGCAAGCGTAAAGCGAAGTTACGGACCGACCGAACCGGCCCACGGAGGCGGAACAGCAGCCAAAAGGGGTGGCTAACGGCGGCTATGTGGGCTGCTTCACTGAGAGCACCATTTAAAAAGGGATTTCAAAATTAACGTCCATCAGACAAGGCAAGAAAAAAGTCAATTTGAATGATTAAATAGCAAAAGCTGTGTAAAAGTTATGTCGCCGGCTCTCCATTGGTTCTGGTCAGATCTGCTTCTGTTTCTGCTTCGGGTACCAGTGCTGGGTACTGGGGCAGGGATTCAAATCCCATTTCCAGTCCCCTTTCCGGATGAATCTGGATCCGGAAGCGGGACCCATCCAGAACAGCAACAACAGAAAAAAGCGATTAGTGTGGTCTTTTGTGTGGCTTAAGTATCGCCGTTGCTTATTTTTTTCAGGCACTCTCATGCGAATTTACATTTATTAATTCTTTTGCGCTGTCCCTCGGTGGCGACAGCTTCCTCCAAAAAGGGTCAGACTTTTAGGGAATGGAAGCTGCACCCAAAAACGGAAAGCTATATGTACATGTGTACATGTTGACGCTGTATTCTTGCTGATAAATAAAAATATGTGAACGTTAGCACAAAAAAGCGATAATCCATCATTTTCAGCACAAGTTGACTGCGAAACCATGGGAACCTTTCTCATCCATGAGACCCAAAATTGGGACTTCTTTTAAAACTTTTACTTACGCTTCCTGCTGATGGGGAGCTTGGGCTGTCAGAATAGGGTCAAAATCAGTTGTAGTCTCATCAAATTTGACAAGTTTTCCATGCAGTTGATCCACTGTTTGCGTCCCCTGGTGAGCCTTGTAATCCCTGTCGCATGATTATGCCAAAAATGAACCAATCCCACGCAAAAAGGTTAAGCGCAGTGTCCCCGTAAGATTGGGCGTGTCGGTCTTTGCCATTCCCTATATACGAGTACGTGTATATGTGGATGGATGGATGAATGGATGGATATGGAAGGAAGCCTTTTGTGCACTTCGACGGCACTCAAACATTTTTGACGCAATGAAATGATTTTGATGAAAAATTAAAAAGCATTTCAATCACGTCGAAAGTTTTCTGACATCACAAAAATTGTTGCTCCTGTTGGATGAGGGATGGGATGGGTGGGAGTTGGAGTCGGTATCGGAAAGTGGTGTTGGTGGGATCAAGTTTTCCAAGTACAAGTTTGAAGAGTTTGAAGCGCTTATGTCTGCCAGCCATTTATTCAGATGCTAATTTAAGTATGCGCCTGGAAGAATGCTTTCAATTTTGTGTGTGGAATTTCCGTACACAACAATCTGCTGCTGCTGTTGCTCCTGCTCTGGCTGGTGGCTATGTTATGGGCTGAGAGGATTTTAATCCCAATTCAGCTGCCAATGTGTGGGAACCCTGCTGAAGCACACCTGTTGTGTGTAATCCTTGAACCAAAAATAAATTTGAAAAGTACGAGCATTAAAACTGAAAATTATGCATGGTATTTACTGATCTGAAATAAGCTCAAATTGTTTAGCACACAGCAAAAACCAGCTGCAGCTCAGCAACCTGTTTTTGGTGTGCTTTTGTTCTGGCATTTCCGGTTCAATTTTTCGCACCCGCAAAGTATGCCATGAATTAAAACGGCAGCCTAGGCATCCCCTCCCACTACTACTTCCGCTTGAACACTGTTCGGCGCACGCTTGGTTGGACATTCAAAAAGCAATAAACTTGCATTAAGAATTAAAGACTTCATTAAGTTCACAGTCGCAGACATTAAATAAACATAATGCCTCTTGATGTTTGCCAAGACTTCGTTTATTTTTTTTTCACCATTTTGTTGCTGTTTGCTGTTGCTGTTCATGGCGCTTAATTCGCTTTTAATCTCATCAGGTTGGCGACGTCCTCGTCAGGGGCGCACCGAGGCATGCCCCACATCAACACAAATGCCGGGAGACAGCAGCCCGGCCGCAGATTTGATGGGGCCACACCTGCCGCTGACGCCGACGCTAACGCTGGCGTCTGCGCTGACTTCGGCGTCTGCAGGTGACAGGTGAGTGCGCTGGCTGTGGCAATAAAAAGCATGTAAATGAGGCTTCAAGCTAGGACAAGACTCCGTATCTCTGTTCGGTTCTGCTCTGCGGTTATATAATGTTGTGACATGATGTCCCCGGCGTCCGTCCAAAGGTGTAAGCGCTGTTAACCCAGTCGCTTCTGGGCCCGTGCCTTGGTCTCTGACTGTGCCGGCCGCCACCCACCGCCAGTGTGGCGATAAGAGCAGGCCGATAAGCCCCAGCAGACATTATATACGGTACAGGCCGGAGAAAGTGCTTCCTGGGGGCGTAAGCCAAACGCGTGCCTTTGCTTTTTATTTGCTTTTTTTTCCTCTGCCAGTTAATCAGAGAAATTAAGCAAAATACTAAAGAACTGCCTCGCACAGCAGCGACGCTGGCCGAGACGCCAACTGTGCGGCAGACGTAGACGCTGCGCCTGAAGCTGACGACATCGACGCGGACCTCAAGCTGTGCAACACAATGGCAACAGTGTCAGCGGGAGGCGGGAGTCCCGAGCCAGTAGAGATTGGTGACCATTCGTTGTAGCTCTTAACGATCCCCAGGCCAACTGTTGGGGCAATGGAGAGCAAACAATCCAGCCAGCGGTAGAGGAGAGCCGTAGAGGAATGGCCACCCACAGCACTCTTTCCATATAAAGTATACGCCGTAATATACCGGTTCCTGGCGTCGCTGCTGCTGATTCTGATTCTGCTTCTGCCGCTGCTCCGGCTGCCAGCGGCAGCGTCGTTGTACTCATCTGTGGCACAGACCATCCAACAATCAGTAGAGCGCTGGAAACGAACGCGTGCAGTTTGGATTTTTGATGTTTGGCCCAAATAGACTCAATCGAACGAATCGCAAAAATCCAAATTAAATTCTGGATGCTTCTATCCATAGTGTTTGCCATAGTGAAATGATATCTATGGCTTATTCTGCTGAGGAGGCATTCTCCAAAACGAGAGGACAGTCGCTGGAA